GCGGGTCCGTGGGCACGGCGGCGGGTCCGTGGGCACGGCGGCGGGTCTGTGGGCACGGCGGTGGGTCTGTGGGCACAACAGTGGGTCTGGTCTATGGGCACAGCAGAGGGTCCATGGGCACAGCGGTGGGTCTGTGGGCACAACAGTGGGTCTGGTCTGTGGGCACAGCGGCGGGTCCGTGGGCACGGCGGCGGGTCCGTGGGCACAACAGTAGGTCCGCCGGCCTGCAGTGCTCCGCGCCGTCTGGGGACAGGGAAGGAGCCGGGCTCTGGGGGCGTCCACCGCTGTGCACCGGGCCCAGCCATCTCTGCCCAAGGTGCCTCTATGCTGACACTGGCACTCGGACGCTGGCCGGCGTCCCGTCCTAGTCACCGAGGGTGTGGGAGACAGGAGGGGCCGTCCAGCCCGCAGCTACTAACTGCCCTTCCCTCTTTAGAGTCCTTGAAAGCGTTGGCTTCTTTTCCGCTCAACTTAAGGCCATCTTCTTGTACCCTGCTAACGCCCCCCCCCCCCCCGGCTGCCAGGAGGACGTGTAGGAGCAGACGACCGTCCTCGGGGAAGACGCAGCGGTGTCCCTTCGGAGCTGGTGCGGAGCAGCGCCTCACGGTTCTGGCGTCGGGCAGACCGGATCGCGCCGGCCCGCGGCCAGAGCCAGGCTGCCACAGGGATGCAAACCGCGTTCCTACCAGCTTCCCCGGTGCCGGTGCTGCTGCTGGTCCGGGAGCCCCGTGGGCCGGATCCGCCGTGCAGAGAAGGGCCCCTCCACCTCCACAGACACCACCCCATCTGTATTCTACAAGCTTCCACGGAGGGGGACAGAGGCTAAGGGGGAGAGCAGGGTTTTGAATCCCGGCCCAAATCCTATTAACCGGCAATGCAGCTTGAGCAATTTACTTAACCTCTCTGTGCCTCGGTTTCCTCGTGGGCAAACCCGGAGGGCTGATGAGTGCACTGAGCGGGTCAGCGCGGGGCGGGGGGGGGGGGGGGGAGGACGGTGGTATTAGAGACATGATGTCATGGAAAGCACCGGGAGGCGCCTGTGCACAGAGCCGCCAACAGCCCTTCTGCTGGTCGAGAGGGTGAACTGACTTCAAGCTCATGCACTCCCTCCTCGCTGACCCGAGTCCCTTGGTCTGTGGCAGAAATAACGTACTTTGCTGGAGGTTTGCAGACCGCTGGCCTTGAAGGTGAAGGACGACAACAAGGCCCAACCACGTTGAAAAACGGCCGAGAATGCCAGCACGTCGTTCAGGGTCACCTCGACCTACGAGTGACCCCTGGGCACCCGCTCCTGCACGCAGCCCCCTCCCTGTTCCCGCGCCTTCCTCTTCCCAACCCTCCGGCTCGTCCTGGACAAGGGAGGCAGTCGCGGAGGCATGAGCCCACCGTCCTCCCAGGTGGCCGGCTTCCCGGCTGCAGCAAACCTGTCCTTTCCTCTCCCAACGTCACTCGCTGTCTCTCGGGTGCTGACTTTCCAGTGGCGAGCAGCAGAACCTGAGTTCGGAACCGCTTCTCTGTCCGATGACCAGACGGAGGTCCAGCATCAGCCGCTGTGACTTCTATCCCTCTGCGGGTAGGGTCCTGGCCGAGCACCTGGGGGTCAGGCCCCGACCCCACCCGGCCACCCGTGGGACCTCGTGCTCCTCTGCTCCCAGCAGCTGCTGGGATTCATTCAAAAACAGCCACCGCTGGTTTGGCTCATGCATCTGGAGGGTGAGTGGGCTCGGCTGGTGCTTCTCCCTGGGAGCTGTGTCGTCTCGCTTGGGGGCTCAAGGGTCACAGAGAGGGTCCCGGGAGAGACCAGCCTCAGCTGGGCGCAGGGGGAGGGGCTGTGGGCTCCACCTGCTGTGGGGGAGGGTCCCCGAGTCTGCAGTCACGTTTACGGACACCCCGAGGCTTTGTGCCTTCCTCCCCTGCTCCTTTCCACCACCTGCTCCCCTGTAACGCCACCTGCCCGCCCCACCGCGCCAGTCCTGCCCACTGCCCACGGCCCTTGGCTCACCCCCCCTCCAGTCTCTTCCTTTGTCCCTCCCCCCTGTGCCACCAAACCCCACAGCCTCCTGTGCTGGTGACCGCGGCTCCCAGGGTTGGTCCTCAGTGACTGCACTGAGCAGGCAAGCAAACGGAGACACGAGGAACCGCGTGACAAGCCAACGGAGACACCAGGAACCGTGTGCACGGGGGCAGAAGCCGCAGGAGCCACTAAGAGGCTGGTGACGTGCCTGGCACCCCAGCTAGGTGTGACTTCCTTCGTTTATATTTTTCAGTATTTCCCAGAACTTCTACAAAGCACATCCGTAACTTGAGTCATCGGAAAATTATTTTCCAGGAGAAAGTACGCTTTAAAAATAGATGGTAAACGTTTCTTGCCCTGAATCCAAAGCACTCGGCTATTAAGCTATTAAAATCTCCGTCCTGCAAAGAGGCAAACTGTCTGTGATTCCAAAGTTCACTCTACATAAAGGTGACAAAAATACCGTGTGACGGATCAAAGGAAATCCGAAAGGCTCTCTCTGGCGTGTCGATGGAAACTGGAGCGCTCCTAGGCCTCCGTTGTGAGGGAGAGACGGTTAAAAGGCACAATCACATTAAACCTACAAGCAGGGTTCTTTCCGCACACGGGCGTCGCTGTGCGTCCTTCTGTGATTTCTGTGATTTTCTGGGCCGTGGCGGTGGAGGCCACGCCGGCCTGGACCGCGAGGCTTTGGCCACAGGCTGTGCGGACAGCCGGCTGCGCCGTGACTTGTGTGCAAACCAGCTGACTGTGACATGCCCTTGTGTGAAGCCTGCGTAGGAGTTCACGGGCGTCTCCCTGGAGCCACAAGGGGACAAGGGGCGTCCCTGTTTCTGCCCAGGGAGGGCGGGGGACTCTGAGGGATTCCTAGTGTAGACCAAGTGAGTGTGCCGGCCGCCCTCATTCCCCAGGCAGGGACCGCAATCTTCCAACGGCAGACGCTGGGCTTTAGTGCGCCTGGTCTCCTCTGGCGGAGTTTGTAAAAAGTGTGCATTGCCAGCTCTGGGCTGGGAAGTTCTGCTTCCGGGTTGGAGGCCGGGCCTCTGAATGTGCACTTGGTAACGAGCCTCCGGAGGGGGTGTCTGAGAACTTCTCTGCACCATTCTTGCAACGTAAGCTCTGTTCTCATCGTCAGATTCAGACTCAGTCACACTTCTCTTCCTAAAATTTAAGAGGTCAAGGGGCGCCCGGGGGGCTCCATTGGTTCAGCGTCCGACTTCGGCTCAGGTCATGATCTCACGGTTTGCGGGTCCAAGCCCCGCGTCGGGCTCTGTGCTGGCAGCTCGGAGCCTGGAGCCTGCTTCCGATTCTGGGCCTCCCTCTCTCTCTGCACCTCCCTCACTCATGCTTTCTCTCCCTCCCTCCGTCTCTCTCTGTCTCTGTCTCTTAGAAATAAACAAACATTAAAAAATTTTGAAATTTCGGAGGCCAGTATTCATACCTCCATTTAGCAGTGAGAAAAGGTGGCTCACAGCAGAGGGGTGATTCCCGGTGGTTTCATGGCTGCGAGCGGTGGATCGGGACTTGGACCAGGTCAGGGGTGCCTGAGAGGCAAAGGCCCTCACGTGCCCCTGGGGGAACATCCCCAGGGTCCCATAATCGGTGAATGCAAGAAGCTGAGGGCATCGTCTCTCCGCCTTCCACCATTGGGCCCCATTCCACGTAGGGGGACACCTGCCGTGACCACCACTGAGCAGTTCTGCCTTTCAGTGGGACCCAGGTCACTTCCCCAGTTGAGAACAGATGTCTGGTTGTTCAGCCCGCTGGCCCCCTTGAGAGAGCACCTCCTGTCTCAGGGGGAATAGGCAGCTTCCAAGGGGAGGGTCATCTTGGAAGCCGAGCGGCCACCCTGTTGATGGAGGTTAGGGTAGCAGGTGCGTCCACGCCTCCCAGGGACCCGGAGCTGTGCCCGTCCCAGGGCACGGGGCCCACTGCTGGTGCCTGCCTGGACCATACCCTCAGCTACAGATGGGACAAGTTCAAGTCTCATTCCAACAGACGTTTCTATGGACTTAATAGTGTCCCCTGCACCCCCCCCCCCCCAATTCATTTGCTCAAGTCCTAACCTGGTAGCTCAGAATGTGACTGTATTTGGACAAGTGTCTTTTAAAGAGGTGATTAGGGTAAAATGGAGTCATATGGGTGGGCCCTAAGCCAACAGGACTGACTGGTGTCCTTCTAAGAAGAGGAGAGTAGGACACAGACACGTACAGAGGGACCGAGTGAGGATCCGGGGAGGAGAGACCAAGGAGAGAGGCCTCGGAAGACACCGGCCCTGCCTACACCTTGAACTCGGACTCGTAGCTCCCAGGACTCTGAGAAGATCCCTTCCTGCTGTTTGGGGCCTGTGGTCTGGGGAGCTGTGCCACGGCAGCCCGAGGTGGGTCCGGCTGGGGTCCCTGAGCCCAGTGGAACCCTGCACCGGACAGCCTGGGGGCATACCACGTGCGGTCTGTGCTCTGTTAGTGAGTGTGGGGGCGCCGGGCTGCACGGGGGTGCTTCCTGTCAGTGCCCCTCCCGGCTATCGGAGGGGCAGGGGAAGAGGTGAGGGGCCGTCACCAACTAAATGCCATTTCACCAGCTGGCTTCGGGCGGTTGTTGAGAAGGATTCCGAAGCGTCGTTCTGGCTCTGTGGGAAAGAATGTCATGATTGATTAGCAATGTCTGCTCTGGGAGAGGGAGGGAGGCACGACAGATGTGTGCCATAAATTTGCAGCCTTCTAGAACACAGGGAGCTCCACCTGAGCCAAGGAGAAGTCAGTGTAGCCAGAGGGCGCTGGGCATGATTTAATGGCCACACAGTTCCAGGCCACCTGCTGGCCACTAATGCCAGACGCTGGGTGACAAACAGATGTCACCATGACTGTGGCATCTGGTCAACTCATCGTGGCCGCCTGAGCATGAGAACGTGCGTCTCTGTTGGTGTCCGTGGAAAGGGCGTCGTATCTCAACCCCCGCCGTCTGCCCCAG